GCCTTCCGTGGTGCAGCCTCGCTCCCCCTCCTGCTCTCCCAGCCCACCCTGGTCCCATTGGGGTCAGAAACCTTTGGATCCACGGCTCAGAAATCCCCGCTGAGCTGTGTGCCGGCGAGGGTGCCCCGTTCGCTCACCTGGAGCAAAAGGGGTGCTGGTTTGACGTGCTGGCCCTTGTGTGTCCCAACCTCAGCCTTCTGTTTCCCAAAACTAGTAAAGTGTGTGCAACCTTCTTCAGCTGCATTTATCGTAGAGGAAAACTTTAAAACGACTCATCACAGACCATGTATCACTTGGGAGGAAAATCTTGTTAATATGGCCCGCTGTACATGATCCATCTTCTGTCGATAGTACATAATCTTTGACCCATGTGCTAGGATCATCATCACATATAAAAGGAAAAGAGAAAAATGTAAAATACTTGAATGAGAGCTTGTATTATAACATTAATATTATTCAGAGTATCTGCTTTCTAGGCTGATGTGATTCATTATTCTAGTAATGCTTTAGTCCTTTGTAATTTGTGGTAATTATGCTTTTTCCTTTTTAATACAAAAAAATGTATAAAAATAAAAACTTCAAAAGACAATGCAGCCTAGTTTTTCTGTTCTGCTGACTTGCCCTCCCCAGGGAACTGTGGGCGGATGAGCGGGCTGGGTTCATCCTGGTGTGGTTGTAGGGGCTGGAGGAGGGAGAGGCAAGGGGCAGCGCTGGACTGAGGGCGGGGAAGCCCCGTGTGTCACCTGCCAGGACTTGCCCAGGACATGAGAGGCAGGTGTCATCTGTGTCCCAGGGTTCCAGGCAGGATTGAGAGTTACAAAGATCCTGCGGAAAATGGGCAGCATGACTCTGTATTGGTTGTGTAGGTAGTGGGGGATGCACATAAAGGTCTGGGTGCTGTTTCTTGGACGTTTTCTTACAAAGTTTCACTGATCTCTACACAGCTCAGGACAGCAGCGACTCTTTCCTTAGAAAGTCTCTCGAGTTTATCAGTGTAAAGAGCGTTGGTTTGTGCCACCTTTTGGCTTGTGGGGAGCGAGGTGAGGCTCAGCAGGTGGAGGTGATTGTACCAGGGTTTCTGCCGTGTAGCACATCAGCTCCCAGCTCTGCTGGCCTGTCCCACGAGGGCAAAACTTGCTCTGTGTTGGCAGAATATTTGTGCAGCCGAGATTAGGATGCAACAGCCCTTAATTCAGACCTTAATCCAGCTGTGGCCCTGCTGACTTTCCATGGGGCTGCATCCTATATCCCTGGTATTCTGAGTCTCAGAAAAAATAGTGGTTTTAATCCAATCACATGTAGTTTTGATGATCTTGCTGGTATTTCTGTGGAATGCTGCTGAAAGGCCAAGGCATAGCCTGTGAAACCGGAAGTGTTAAAACCGTAATAATGAGAACTCCCCAGGAACTCCGCTAAGCCGTGTGGCCTAGAACACATCTGACTTAAGCGCACGCAGCTACAACCAAAGAACACTGCAACCAAACAACACTGCAAGTAATAAAGGAAAAAAAACACCTTCTAAACTTCGTATAAAAATAACTTTCTAGAGCAGGTTATTTTATGTCTTGGGTAGAAAATAACAGACAGCAAAAGTGCAGTCATTTCAAATAGTATGTTTAAGTTTAGCTTTGGGTTTTTTTATGTGTGAACAATAACTTGTTTCCCAGTTAAAATACTATTTGGCATTAAGTCATTGTCCCTCGCTCTACAAGGACCGTGGGGTTCACTCTGCCTTCTTGGGCACCTCAGGGATGCTTTCCGAGAGCGGCGTGAGGCTGAGGAGGACCCTGTGTCTCTCGTAGGCTTTGCTTTGTCTGAACACTGTATCTGTTCCATGCAGATAATCCAGCACTCCCAGGACTCCATAGCACTGGTTGAACCTGGAAACCAAACAGAATAAACATCACTGGAAGTTACTGAGGTTACTTGGCCTTTCCTGTTTCCATCTCCTTCCAGACAGCCACTGCAGCAGTCTCCCTCGCAGCTCTAAGGAAGCCTGGGTGAAACTCATCCTGCAACTTCCCTCTGGTGCCGTTGTTACCCAGAAATGGTGGCACGGAACAACAGCCGCCTCTCCTGGGCAGCTCAGAGCTGCCACGTCTGCATGCTCCCAAAACCCCGCTGCCAGAGGACACAGAGCTGCTGTGGTTCCAGCACCCAGAGTGTCTCAGCTCTGCAGTGATCTACGTCCTGGGACAAGCTGAGCTTCGGAGGAACGGACTGATAACGGGAACCAGCACCAGCATTTGTCTACTGATGGAAAGTGCCACGTTAGCTGCTTCTGCAGGAGGGGCAAACTGTTCACAGGAGTAGGTCTGTGAACTTGGTGTAACAATTCTCCCACTGCTGTGGTATGTATCCCCAAGTGACCTGCTGAAACTGCTCCAGTGTAGGAGGAGGCTGGGAAAGTCTGCCAGGAAGAGTTAATTGCAATCATTTGGGTAGGGTGTTATCTGATCAGTGTTACTAATCCCGGTGTATGGGAGACGGACAGAGAGAGGCTCCCTCCAAATTTATTTCATGTATGTGACTTGCCCTTGATCTGTCTTTATCTTAGATCACACGCAGTGTCTTCTAAGGTTCTAGGAAGAGCCTTGCAGAGAACTGTCTGACCCTGCGCTTGTGCTGGAGAAAGTCCAGGTGATACCTGCGGCTTCAGACACTGTGTGCTTTCCTCCCATGTCATCTTTGGAAACCTGAAGTGCTCAGCCTCAGCTGCAGTGTTTGTGCTTTGGAGAACGTTTTTCAAGGCAGCTGATGGAGGAGGGTGGACGTCGGTGAGGTGTCTGGCAGCTGTGTGGGCAGTGGGCTGGAGTCCTCTGAAATCCTGATCTGTGTTTAACTGCTGTTCAGCTTCCTCTCAGGCAAGCTGGGTAGACTTCTCTGCTTGTGTGTGAGTCACACAGACCCCCTTGACCCTCGGAAAGGAGCTTTGCCTGTGATCAGCGCCAGGGTGCAGGCAGGAGGGGAAGGGGAAGCTGAGCAGTGCCCAGACCTACTTGAGGTGGTGGAAGTCGTGGAACTCCGGTGACGGCAGGAGGGGCAGGTGGTAGCCGCAGTGTGAGATGCTGGTTGTTACGAGAGCAAGAGAGAACCATGCTGCGATCGAAACAATATGAGACCCCATGACCATCGGGCCAGTCATGACAGGCAGCGTGTTGGAGAACTAGAAATGAGAAGCAAACTCTGTCTCATTGATCGGTCCACAACAAGCAGACTCTCCTCTAGCAGCTGAATTGTTTCACCCAGGTGATACCTCACGTTAGTTTTGTGCAAACAGTGCAAAGGGAAGATCCCTTTGCAGACACCTTACTAGGATTACATAATCATCAAAGAAAGAATTTACTCTGACCTAACCAAGTTTTACTTGCTGCAAAACATAGTCACAGCCCAAGCTCCTTAAGCCTGTATTAGAAGTTACAACGCAAGATCAAACCAGGGGTGTGAGGGCAGTATGATTCCAGTCAATCACCCTGGAGTCAGAGGTCTGAATTTCAGCTTCACCTTTGAATAATGCTGCAGCTGCTCTTGGGAACCCTGGCCGTGAAAGGGCATGGCCTGGGACACGTGCACTCAAGGCCATGATGTGATGGTCCCAGCCGCATCAATTCACTGTGCCCTGCAGTGGCATGAACGGCTGTCTCTGCCCAGACCGTGCTCACTGCACCAGTCAGGCTTAGCTGGACTCTTGAACACAAAAAGTCCTCCTGCTGCCCAAAGACTGTCAAGGACATTCAGGAAGCTGATGCTGGAGCCCAGGACTGCTGTTAGCAGGAGACAAGTACTTATAACTGGACTCTTCTGAAGGCGGGCTGTATTTTCATGGGAAGTTGCAGCTGGAGCAGTGCTGGGAGATACTCTGCAAACACTGATCCCAGCCACCAGCATGACAATCATGACAGAAGTCTGAATCCATGCACTAACCCAGGCTGTCTAAGTGTCACATCTTGTGCTGAAAGGCACCGGCTGTGCTCTCAGCCCTCTCTGCTCAGGGCAGCACCATTTCAGTCAGTTCCCTATCAGTTGGAAGCCCATGGATCTGTGCTCTTAAAGCTCAGGGAGCCCAGCATAAACAGGTACTGCAACCCTTCTGCAGCCAAGCTGCTTCTTGGCGATGCTGAGAAAGAAGAGTCTAAGGGCGCATTTGCTGTTCTTCTCTTACTACTCCTCATCCCTTGGATATCCCGCTCTGTGCAGAAGCTGGAGGGTGACCCTGGGAGAATCCACTTACTATGTGTTCCACTGGGTGAGCATAAATGGAGACCACACCGATGGGGGCTGTCCATTCGTGGTGCTTCTTGTGAATGTGCTTATACAGGAGCGGGTGGTGAACAACCCTAAGTAGAGAAAAACAGAGAAAGGGTTTGAGCTCCACAGGAAACGAACGTAGAGTAACATAACAGAATTTCTGCTGTGGATCTCCTCGTGTCTCCTCTTTAACACGAAGATTTTGGAGCAGCTGGGAATAAGACGGTAGGACTCCTGGTTTCTCTCTCTAGTACTGAGGCCTCACTCAATTGATGTGTCCACTGGCTGATGTTAAACTTAAGTCCAGATAAATCCCACAAGTCAAAGTCCCTGAATGACCCATTTGCTCAAACCCGAGAGTACTACTTCAGGGAAGACTGACTTTAGATTTTCAGCGTTTTGACTTTTCATATTGGCAACTATTAAGAGTCAGAACTTTAGCTTCTGTGGGTGCTTCATAAGAAATGGCTTTTTATGGGGTTTTTTGTGTGCATTTGTCCAATAGGGAAACCTACATATTTCTGAGAAGGCTCTGCTTTCTTTTCCATGGTCTTTTGCAGGCTTTTTTCTTTTGCTCTAATGTTGGTGTCGGTGCTTAGAAGATCTGCAGTGTCAGGAGCCAGGCCCTGTTTCGCAGGTGCCGTACAAGTGGAAAGGAGACCAGTCACTGACCTCTGAAGCTTTTTCTTTCAGGATAGCTAATCTTGTTCTTCTCTTTAAAAAGAGTGCTGGATCATAGCTTTCATGTAAACTTACCTGTTTTGTTTCTTTCTTAGCTTCTAAGCCACTCCACTTTTGTAATTTTACCCATTTTTGCTTACTGTAGCTACTGGTAGCACCAAAGCCTCATGCTGTAAGTGTGGATTTCAGGGCCTGGTAAGTCTTCCCATATAAATACCAGGCTTCGGGCACTGGGACTGTTGCAGGAGATAGACATAAGCCTAAAGGCGTGGAGGAAACCCATGGAGTCCTGTTCCTGTGCTTAGCTCACCTGTGTGTATAATAGAAGAGAATTTCCTCGATTAAGGTAAAGATGATTAGCTCCACAAGAAACCAGCGGAAGGTGGGTAAATCCTTGCTGAAGGTGTTGCCCCACCATTTCATGATGTAGAACATGGGCAGAAGCATGGGGAAGGAGATAAAGAACTGATTGCACAGCGCTGTGTAGATGGCTTGGCGCAATTTCTTTGTGTCCACCTGCAAAAGAGAAGTTGGGAACTTGACACGCAGTCAGAAGCAATGCAGCTTTGGGTTGGAAGGATAAAGAGTTCTGAGATTTGTAGGCAGTTTCTGTATTAGTTTTGGGATTAACTTTTAAACAAGCAGTCAATCCAGATCTGATTGGTAGCCTTAATTACCAGAACTGCCGCCTTTTCTGCAGTGCGTATACAAGACTCAGCTTGATTCTCCTCGAATCCTATCTGGCTGCAAGAGGAAACCATAACAGGTTCTTTTCCCGCTCCTAGCCTAAGAGATTGCAGGGAGTGCTTCGCCAGCAGAAGAGGCAGAGTAAGAAATACTTACAGGATCATTCTTGCCCAGCTGAATGCGATAGCGAGTAATGAAAGATGGCTTTCCTGTTACATCAGCCACCATAAGGATTCCATTGAAGCACCAGAAAGCAAGGCCAGGCACCAATGCAGCCCCTGTGGCGTGAGGAAGGGGCAGAGACGTGTGAATAAACTGCGACCTACGGCTAAATTAGAAACAAAATACAGAGGATGTTGCTGGGACCAAGACGTGCCAGGTGTGTATGCCCTGCGATGCTTTAAAACTGAATATGGGTAAGTTCTGACATCCAGGTAAGATCTAGGCAATGGGGAGGAGGTTAGAGTAGACAAATGTCGCATAGGTTGAAACTTGCCATAACTGAGGTGAGGAAAGGGCTTTTTTGGGAGTCTGAGGACCTCTGTCATGGGTGATTTTTAAATACGAGTCAGGATAAGGATGAGTTGATCCCTGGGATCTTGCAACGTCCTTACCAGGCCTGTTGGCCAGCTGTTAAGCATGGAAAATAGTTTTATAGGTGCTATAGGAAAAGTAAAATTCACTAATTTTACTTTAATTTTCAGTACTTAGTTCTACTGAGTCATTCAGTTCTCACAGAATCAGTGCCTTCACATTTCAGCAGCAGCAAAAAGATCGAATATACAATCTGTCTAGGGGGTCTAATGGTGAACCATTCCAAAGGCAGCCCAGTTGCACTACATCACATGTGGCTGGCTTTCAAGCCTGTGCATGCTTTTTCAGTGGGAGGATTAGTGAGTTTGGGCATGTCCATGTCCCCCTTCTAGAGGCAGTACATGGGTGCTTCCTCCTACAGCGGAAAGTTGCTAAAACTCACCGAGGAGGAAGATTGTCGACTCCTTTCCCTCAAACAGGCAGTAGAACTTCAGCCACGTTGTTTGCCAGAAATGGCCTAAAATGTCCCACATACTCTGCACGTACCTGCGGGAATAGGTGTCCGTGGTTGCCTATGTCTTCATCGTCCCTTTTTCCCCATCTCCACAGAAAAGTTTCTCCTCAAGCCCCTTGGTTCAAACAATCTTACCAAGAAACAGAGTTCACCAGGGCAGTGACTATGAGCAGGGCTGTACCAAGGACACTGGCACTGATCTTCATGGCACCCCAGAGCTTCTCTTCCTGTGAGCAAGCAACAAGAGTAAGCATGTGTCGTCATGTTCTACACTAGCATTTTTTGTATTTGAAATGCAAGAGGTAAAGGCAGTCCTAGGATGGCCCCTTTTGTTTTGCAAACTCTCCAAAGAATGTAGTAACAAAGCTGTTATGGGATATTTTCTGTAACTGAAGTGGGGAGAAGTATGTGCACATCCATCTGCCGTGCTTACAGACACCTGAAGCGTCACTAACATTGAAATTTCTCTGGAATAACCAAAGGGAGAGAAAGGACCACTGAATTTTCTCTCTTTGTTTTTGTTTGACATGCTTCTCAATACCTGGAGGACTATGGTGTCAGGGGCTTCTGGCTAACTCTGGAGCAGCAGGAAAGGAAGACCTGGGGGTAAGGAACGGTGCTCCATCTCAACACCTCCCTCGCTCAGTATTTTCTCCCTCCCAGTGTGCTTTCTTTCTGCAGTCAAGAACTGTCGTGCTCAGATGATCCGATTAACAGCTCCAGGTAATCCAGAACCACTCCTCTCAACTCTCCTCTTTGCTTTGAAGACTGATTGTGAAGCCAGGCCCACGTGCCCAGAAGCTTTACTTTTTTCCTTCAAGTAGAGCAGAGGTTTAACACGGGATATTACCTTTCCTTGGTAATCCTTTCCTTTAGGCCATCACAGGTACAAGCTGGATCTAGTACTGACAGTACAACTTGGCTAGTAGGTACCATAGGTACCATCTGTATAGAACAACTGCACATTAACAAGGAGCTAAAATATTCAGCTTCTCAAAAGTATAAAATTCTCTAAATCCCTGCTCTCAGTCAGAGGAATGTTATCTACCGAAGAAATATTCCTGTGTACGGCATAGGGGCAGCTATGACGTTAGCATGATTCAGTAAGGATTTTAATTATACAAAGCAACTGCAAGAGAATCAGATTACCAGTGAGACCTGATGACTACAGGAATAAGTATATTAAAAAAGCAGCATTCAATATATTTAAGCATTTAGATATTAAAACCCAAGGGTTTTTTTAGCAAATAGATAACAAATGTATAATTAACTATCTGTCTTGGGAGCTGCCCAAGTTGGAATTGTTCTGGGGTTCAGCGATCTTAGTTTGGGTTTTCTTGGGTGGAGCTGCATCATATTTATCTGCAGGATAAGTGGTTTTTTAAAAAAATCACTGCAATTCTAAAATAATAGAGTGTAATAACCAACTAGTGTCTTGTTCATTACTCTATCCTTCCTGTTTTTTAACTGCATTGTTGTGCTGCACAAACAGACTGGAGTAAAAATAACATGATTCATAGTTGCTGTCCTGTCAGGACAAACAAGAGAGACAGCTCACTAACACAGGTTGCATGCAGGTGTGTTTAGGGTAATGCAATATAGAGGAATCCTCTCTACACGGCTTTCGGTGCTAAGAGCTTCTTTAAGATACTGTAACAGCTACAGAACATTAAACATTGCCCAGTACTTGTCAGCAATATTTATCTCTCCCAGGATAGAACTTTGCTCATTAACACTGAAATTTTCCTCATTGAAACAAACATTTGCTCTTATCATTTCTTTTTTTTTTTTTAGATCAAGCTAGCAACTGGGGAGGAAGTAATTTAAAGGACCCTTGCCCTACAGCGTGATGTCTGTGAACCCTGTGGGTCTGTGTTGGAAGCAACGCAATCAGTTGCCAGCGTTATCGCTGGGTGTACCGCACTGGCAAAAGCATCCGTCCCAGCCTCAGATAGTGCCTGCTGGATTCCAGGCTGGAGATTTGCTCTCTTAGCAGTTTCATATTTCCAAGTGCATTCATGTTATGCCTTGTGTATGCTGACATGAGATAGGACTTCCTTAATCTTTAGACCCTGGAGCACTGTTTACATACTCTTTAGGAAAAAAAAAGTTACAAAAGCTATAAAAAGCCTAGAGCTTTTTAACAGAACTCTATCCTTGTTTCTCCTGGGATGAAGAAAGAACATACCGAAGAAAAACTCTGATGCCTTACAAGTGTCAAAATTTTTAATTAGACCAAATAGCATTTCACATTCTTTAGCACCTTCCAGCTGAAGAACTGAGAGTTGGAAAAACTAGTAACTCCTCATACTCACCAGACACTGTGTGTGTCCTGCTTTGAGATAGGACAGAGAGTAGCTAAAGCTCAGCACTTAAGCTATTTTAAAAGCCCTTTGACAAGAAACTGTCTTGTTTTGAGGCTCTGTATTTATTGCACGTGATGACGTGATTACATGATGAATCCCACACAGTATAATTACATGAGCTGTAGAAGCAGGGAAGTTTACATAGAAAAAAAAAAATCTTGTTCATCAAGTCCAAGTGCTAACACCCTGTTTCTCTTCATGCCAACAGTTCCGGCACAGTAGTTTCCAAACTCTGATCCATGGATCGCTTGAGATCTTGCCCTTAAAAGGGCTTGTACAAAATGGCAAATCCCTTAAGTGCAGAACGGGGTTGCTGCCTGCAAGGTAAAGAGAATGGGGCACATCAGCTGGAAAAGAGATTGTTTAGCAGGACTGCTTTGAGAACTGGGCCCAGCCGGGTGGCGCTGCTTCTGCCTACAGGGCACTCTTGTGGTCTCTTGCACAAACAAAGATAATGGGCCCTTGGTGCTGTATCCGTGATCCACTGGAAGGTAAAAAATGCTGCTGTAGTGGTAAGAGATGAGCCCCTAGTAGTGCTAAAGTGATCAGAGTGTGGATCTGTCTGTCAGTTCTCCTAGAACTTGATTCAACACACACAGCCTTCCAAAGCACCTGCATTACATTTCGTTTAAAAGACAACCTTGAGCTTTTACCTGCTGCTGCTGCTCAGCCATGGTGGAATATCCAGAGTCTCTTTTCATCTGAAATAAGAAGTGATCTAAGTAAGTGAATCTTGTACAGCTGGAGAGTGCAAGAATACACTGCTGACAACAGCAAATCTCCTCAACTTTGAGTTCAGCTGCTAAGCTGTAAAATATTTACTTTGCTCTGTCCTGTCTTGCTCCCTCCTTCATGCTGGCTGTCAAGCAAAGCTGAGCTCCTGAGAAGAAACATCCTGTTACTTCCTTTTGAGTTAGTGTTGTCCCACAAGACTAACAGCAGTGCGAGGGTAACAAAAAAAAAAAAAGGAAGGAGAACAGCCAAAATCAAAGCTCCCGATCGTGGCAGGGGGGGGTTGGGGCACGAACAACTCCCCCG